AGTGAGCCAAGATTGCACCACTGCACTCCAGCCTGGGCTACAGAGTGAGATTGTCTGTAAAAGAAAAAACAAAGAGAGAGAGAGAGAGAGAGAGAGAGAGAGAGACACTGGGAGGAAGAATCTTTAACTGATGTTTCTGTCCTAACTATGGAAACAATAGGTTGGTTCCCTCAGAAACTTTTGCTGTTAACTATCTGTTAATGTAATCAGTTGCCTGTGAAAACCTTAATGAAAAGATCCAATATATAGAGATCCAAGGTATGCGCCCTTGAATCCCACCAGAAACTACATTTCAGGCTTCACTTGTAATCCTTTTTCCTCACGTCTCTGCCAACAATTTCCACCTTGGCTTGTGCTATTTATGTCCTTTGCTTTCTATACAATTCTAAAGAATTTTTATGTGACAAAGAAATTAGGCATTGAAAAGATTGAGATTTAAGTTCTTATTAAATTTAGACAATGCATTGATCATGTGATCAGAGACTGTGTTTGCAAAGAAATAAAGTAATATATTTTGCTGAGCCATGAGAAAATAGATTAAGGGGCAGTAAGAAGCAACTTTTTTTTTTTTTTAACCCTTCACCAGTTCAAGAGTCAAAAATTTTGTATTGTTTCTTTACTTTCAGGGGAAAACATTTTTGTTCTTTTTAGTTTTACATACCGTAGAAAAGTATACACATAATCATACATAATCATCTGTAAAAATTGATTTTGTAATGGGATTAATCGGCAAAGAGGGCTGAGCACAGTGGCTCATGCCTGTAATCCCAGGACTTTGGGAGGCAAAGGCGAGCGGATCACCTGAGGTCCGGAGGTCGAGATCAACCTGATTAACATGGAGAAACCCCGTCTCTACTAAAAATACAAAAAAATTAGCCGGGCATGGTGGGCATGCCTGTAATCCCAGTGACTCGGGAGGCTGAGGCAGAAGAATTGATTGAACCCAGGAGGTGGAGGTTGCGGTGAGCTAAGATTGCGCCATTGCACTCCAGCCTGGACAACAAGAGTGAACTTCGTCTCAAAATGAATAAAAATAAAAAGACAAATAAATAAAATTCCTCATGCTCAACTGATGGTTCAAGGAAGCAGATAGATCCCCAAAATATCAATTTTTTCTGAAAACAGGAGATTCTAGTCTACTTGAGTCTCCATAAGGAAGTCGCCTCTGCTTTAACACTTAGAAAAAACACTTACAAAACCCTTCTTTTTTTTCCCCTTTCCTCTTCCTTTTTTCTTTTTTTTTTGAGACAGGTTCTCGCTCTATTGCCCAGCCTAGAGTGCAGTGGCACAATCACAGCTCACTGCAGCCCTGAACTTCTGGGCTCAAGTGATTCTCCAGTCTCAGCTTCCTGAGTAGCTAGGACTAAAGGCATGCCCAGGCAACTTTTTACTTTTTGTAGAGATGGAGTCTGTGTTGTCCAGGCTGGTTTTGAACTCCGACTCCTGGACTCAAGTGATCCTTCCACATTGGCCTCCAGAGTGCTGGGATTGTAGACATGAGCCACCAGGCCTAGCTTCCAACTGCTTATTTTTCTATTGCTATTTCCTTGTTCCCATCTTGTAAAACGCACTGCTTTACTATTGCCCAGTGGGAATTTTCTTTTTAATGTATAGAATGAAGGCTGCCCCTCTTCTGGAATTGTGATTAAAAGTTAATTAGGGGCCAGGCGCGGTGGCTCAAGCCTGTAATCCCAGCACTTTGGGAGGCCGAGGCGGGTGGATCATAAGGTCAAGAGATCGAGACCATCCTGGTCAACATGGTGAAACCCAGTCTCTACTAAAAATACAAAAAATTAGCTGGGCATGGTGGCACGTGCCTGTAATCCCAGCTACTCAGGAGGCT